TTAAGATGCCTCGTGCAAAAACTTACTCATTCGGTTCAATCGGACTCTTTTCGCAACTCAACTTAATTGATGTCATTTCAGAGCTGTTGCGTGCCTTCAAACTCCAAGTGATAATTTCGAATTCCATACATAACGCTACATTAGTCATTGTTTGTTCAAGGGGATTCAGCTCGCTCACTAGACACGTTTCGGCTATCCAAACTGACCCAATTCTTCGCTGGCTCGCCAATCTGTTCCCATTGCTTGAGCTGGCCACTTATTGATTGATTGCATGTATCTCCCGTGGCAACGAGCGCATTGTCACTAGCTTTGCCAGACCACATGTGCCCCATGTATACGTACGTATTCACACACACTCACCAAGCCGTACACAAACTCCGGAACACAAATGGCTGCTCACAAACTCGTGTTTCATCCCCCAGAGGGCTAGGCTCCGTCCACTGGCTTTGGGCAATAAAGCAATTGATTTTAAAGCTTACAGTCCAACATGGTTAACATGATAAATTGAATGGAAATATCACCATCTATGTGTGTTTACGATTCCGCATGAATAGCTGTTTTCCAGAGGTATTACAGCGGAGTTCGTAAAACATTTGCGCGTTATTTTGATTTTTCCTCTTCACGCTGCATTTTCGTCGAAAGAGAACGAAAGTCCTCAGTGGGTTGACAGCAATCATTTTCCTTCGTAAAGCGTGAACAGATGTTGTTTTTCAAATTTAAATGTGCATATCCTTGATTTAACTTGATTGTTTTTTTCCTGTTCAAACACAGGTAATGTGTTCGCTTCGAGGTTGTGCGTAATCGTTATTTTTATTCCGATTTGCAGCAACCATTGCTTGCCTGTAGCACATCAGCTGGTTCGACTGTTGCGACCTTGAGCCCGGCTTCTAATCCCGTGATGTCACAAACTCCGTCCCAACAATCTGGACAGCAGCCCTCAGCCACCGCCTATCTCAACCCAATGACCACATTCATGGCTGCCGCTGCTATGCAGCAGTATCCGAACGCGGCCAACATGACTCGTCCGACAACTGGGGTTCCGGTCCCGATGGGTAACTTGGCTGCGGCGGTTGCTGCAGGCAACTATCCTCAACTAGCACAGAACTGTGCAACTTCGGTGGCTAATCACAATGCGGTCTCGACACCAATGGCTGCCGGTTCGTTAAATAACAATGCAATGGCATTATCAAATAACTCACTTACACAAAGTGAGTAGTAGTAGTCACTCACTCTGCATTCATCTGATTGTGTTGTTGCATGACAACCTCGAAGCGAACAGAGGAATCTGAGAAGAAAGATTTGACCTGTAAACCATTCCAGCGGAAAATACTTGAACCACCAAGGTCACTGCAATTGTCAAATCAACCTGATATCCAGTAGGATGTGTTCGGACACAAAATACCGTGATCCTGAATTGAGTGACATTGTGGGCTGAACTGCCGGAGGGATACATTCTCGCGTCGATATGCCACTAAACGTCTGTTGATCAGGTTTTAGGATTCACTCCTATGACCGCTGTGACTTTGAAACATCCTTTTCCGGTAAACGTTTAGCATAAGGTGATAAACTTGGGACTATACGGGTTCTCAGTGAGTTTCGCATCCTATATCAAAAAGATTAATGTGTTGGACATGAGTGTTGATGATAACTAGGTTTCGAGTGATCCAGAAACATGCTCATTTCTGAGGTGAAGATAGGGATAGGGTCTGCAAACCTAGTGTAGTCAGTTAGTTGACTGATGGTGAACGAGATATTCAAATATGAATGACGAGATCATTTAATGCATATCAGATTACCTCATCTATTCATTCGTAATTATATGTATATTCTTTATTTATCCATGGAGTATTAGTAGCGGAACCTGTTGAGAATACAGAGTGAGGAAGGGATAGGTGAACTGCGGGAAACAGTTGATTCCAAAATATGTGCAACTACTGTAGCCAATAAGTGCCAAGTTTTGCTGTAATGCAATAAAGAATTGCTCTCTTTAAATCAATGGTTCGATGGATTAGAGCACACCGATCGATTTAGTAGTGCCGGAGAACAAGTGAGAACCCAAAGTTTCTCGATATCGAGAGAGGGAGAGCGCGCTTCCTATTTGATCATTCGTTTTGCTCTGTTGCTTCCATACGTTATTTAGAGACACGGCTATCTCAATTGTGCACCGTCTCGAATACTGTGCCTCAGCCAACGGTTTCACGCCACACAGGTGATACATATTGCTCATACTGAACAACTCTGGGAGAGCACTACACCGGCAAGCGCACTGAGCTGTATTAAGAACGAACTAGTTTTATTAGGTCGAACAAGTGAATATAAGCCGACCGGTGATTAGTGTCTCGAAATGAACTTGTAGTGCATAACATGCAGAACTTATTTTTTTGTGACTATCAGCCTCGGGTGTAGAGTGGCTGGGGAATGAAGTGCGTGAACTGAGTGACGTCAGCCCTTCATCAGGGATTGTTCACGGTTTGTGAAGCGTTTGCTTAGAATATCTTCTGCTATTTGGCTCTTGTCTTTGTGAGCGAAAAATGGTAATGTCTTTTTGTTTTTCACTTATATAGTTGGTTCACAACTTGTCCCTTTGTCGGATTTGGCCCTGCTCACACAAGGCAATTTGGCTGCTCTGGCACAAGCCAGTAACTCAACACAAGTAACGGATTCCGCGAATGCCACCCTAGTCGGTCTAGGCAATGCGGCCAGTGTGACTACTCCTACCGAGTACTCTAACGGGACCTTAAATGGTGTCCTGGTTTCAGCCACACCATCTTCAACATCTTCCCCATCTAGTTTGGTCAATCTGGGAGCCCCGGTAGTTGCTTCGACAAACGGTGGCACTGTTTTACCCACTGGTGTGATGCACCAAAATGTTTCACTGAACGCGGCAATGGCTGCTGGGCTGCTAACACCCACACCCGGTTTTATGACTCCTTCCGCGTCCACTCCGCCAGCTGCGAGTCCCGCCCTACTTGCACCCAGTGTGACGACTGATCCCGCTGCGCTATACGCCGCGGCCGTCGCAGCTGCCGCCGCATTTCAGAATGCCCCAACCCAACACGCACATGCCCAATCAACACCGGCTCAACTGCAATTTCAACAAATATACTCATCATTGGTACAAACAACGGCTGGTCCTAACGGGCACTTGACCACATTGAGCGGTCATTCGCCAACCACACATAATCCGCCTGCCGTGGCTGTGTCCGGCGGTTTAGGATCATATTTCACAGATACCAATGCGGCCCTGAATGCAGCTACACTGGCAGCTGCAGCAGGTACGTTTCGAATGCAATGCGCGCAATAAGAAATACATAATCAAGTGCTTAAAAGTTTTTTTAATACTTGTTTTCGTGAATGACGTGCGTGTTGTTCTGTTTTTTGTTTTCATCGATCCCATAACGCAGCATCAGCACAATCCCTGGTTGGCGATCCGATGCAGCAACTGTACGCTGGCCTGCAAGCATATGGTTTAAGTAAGTCTTTTCATGCCGGTGCATGCACTATTTGATTGGCCACAATATCTTCAGTCAATATCCTGTAGCAATAATCGACCATCCTGCTGTGGTATTAATATACTGTTTTGCGTTCTGCGGCTAAAATCTTCATATGTTAGATATTCCATATTGTGGAGTTTGTCATAACTTTCTTTTCAGCTTTTCCTAATTTGATAACTGGTGCATCCACATGTCTCGATAGTATGAATGCATAGAAGGTCACATGAAATGCGATCAGGATTTTCCATATTGATTTGTTGCTCAGCTGAGACGTGCTCCACTGTTCAAGGACGTAGGTGGCCTGCATGATTGTGTTCGAAATCCATGGAGGACACTTCACTCTTCACAGTACAGCCTCAATTTACTATTTTCATGAATTTGGGTTTGTGCTACAAATAGTAGCTCTGGCGTTGGGAACCAAAACAAAGGGCAGTAAGCGTACAATCAAATGACTATGATTTACCCCTCTATCTAACCATTCTCTCTTTTAAATNCCGCTGCAGCCGCCGCAGCGTATCCATCATTCCACAGTCTTCATCATCAAGCACTGTCAATGCCTGTGCATCAAAAGGAAGGCACTCGGGAACTGATATTAACCGGTAAGTAGTACTGGTTCTGTTCGGTCCTATGCATTGTGTCGGTTGTGTTGAGATCTGTGACAAGTAGGTGCTGAAGAAAAACTGCCATTCCTCGCCCACATCCCCTTCTGGGTTATCCCTCTTCCCTGTTGTTTGTTGGACCATGTACGTTCTTGACGGGCCAATTCCGTTTCGATATGACACTTATGCGACAATTTCTGCTGAAATCCCTAATCCAATCACTAATTCTCTTGCTAAAGCGGATTGACCCGCCTATGCGCACAGTGTATGATGTCGGTATGCACGCATGTATTGATTCGGAATAAAAACAGAATGATGGCAGGTGTGTTCTTGACGGGGGTGGGAATTCACTTGTGTGTGTGTGTGTGTGTGCACATGCACACAGAATTAAGCACGTGATTCCGACTGCATTAAGACTAAACCATCAGGTGGACAGAACACGACAATACAATTTAGATTAGCAAAGCTCATTTACTCGAATCTTTGCTAAGCACAGTGGTAACCGGGTCATCATTTGGTATAGTTGTTTTGCTTGTATTCTCGCTGCTGTGCTCTCCATGAGTGACACAAACTGGCGATTGTGCGCTGTTTGTTTTTCGTATTTCATCAAATGGTCGAGAGAGAGAGAGTTCAGTCGATCAAATAATTGATCCTAGAGCAATCAATAGGTCCTGATCTGCTGTTGATGATTCATTTGTATTTGGATCCATTCTTATGTATACACGCATGCATATGGATCTCAGTGCCGGATACGCTTCACTTCACGGCAGGATCCTGTGCATCCGATGCACTACCGTGCTGATTCGATCGATCGAGAGTTTGATCTAGGTGACTGCAATAAAATAACACGAAATGCTTGTTTTTAGCTATTTTGAAGCGGCAACACTAAAAGACACACATGTACCCATCATTACAGTTTACCTAACGCTCAGGACATTCAGCTAAACCGGTATAATTTAATATTTCTGAAAGCAGGTCATGTTTATGAGCAACATCAGTCAACTCAGCCCTATGTGATTTTCTCCTCACTCTGTTATTTGCTTCCAAGGTCCCGAAGGATGTAATTTATTCATATATCACCTACCTCAAGAATTCGGCGATCAGGAACTGGCACAGATGTTCATGCCGTTTGGAACAGTGATCAGTGCTAAGGTGTATGTCGATAGGGCAACAAACCAAAGCAAGTGTTTCGGTAAGTCCAACATCTGCCTTACCGCAGCTTTCCATGTATGCTGGCTCCTGTATTTCACTGCTTGATCTACCACCCTATTCTTGCTTTTAATCTTCTCACTATCCGCCTTTTTCAGGCTTTGTCAGTTTCGACAATCAAACAAGTGCACAGAATGCGATTCAAGCAATGAACGGTTTCCAGATAGGACTGAAACGCCTGAAGGTGCAGTTGAAACGACCAAAAGGTAAGTTTACCTGACGTTTGCAATAGTACACACTTTGTTGACGTCATTTTCTATCGTACCAGTCATAGATATTCTGTTAGCCTTAGAACTCCCAGTAATGCTTTCTTACTGCATCAGGCATGTATACGACAAAACACTGGTACACTAATCAAGACCGATAGACTGTTAACGATACTGAACGTCCATTCCCACACCTTTTGCCTAACTTTGATCACATGTAGGCGGTAATACAGTGGCTGCTAGCACACACCTGAACAACAGTGCGAGCACAAATCCCAAATCCGGGCACCATGATCTCCCAACGAACGGCAGTTCGTTGCCACAGGAAGCTTTCTACTCAACCGAGGTAACTGCTGTTCCGTACTCGCGCGGCACATCCTCTGTGGCCTGATCTATCCGTGTCCCCATTGAATATCTACTCACCACATTCATCTTCCCTCCATAGTTTGTATGTGTATGTGCGTCTGTCTATGGCAACTGTAATATTTCCCAACTGTGTTTCCGGCTTCTTCCAATTCCACTTTTGTTTTGCTTCACCCCCACCTTGTTCTGTGCTCGAGCGTGGTAAAATGTCTTTGTCTTCAGCCCTACACACCTGCTCATTGAAAGAACCACTGTTCTGTCTTCGTTCGTTTGTGTGTGTGTGTGTGTCTCGGTTTGTCTGTTAATGTGGCACTGTATTCCTCTCAGTTAAATTGCTTGTACTATTCTGAATTTCTGAATGGCAGTTATCAACGCCACTTGCTGTCATCTTGATGACGTTACCTGAGTTTTGAACGACGTGGCTATCTTTTGTTACATGTGCTCTGGAATTTTGCGAAACTGCATCGGTTCCTAAGACCTGGTGGCTCACGTGTTTGCGTGTGTTGGTATGTGTACGTGTGCATTTTATTGAGGCGTTGGCTTTACTTATGTTTGTCTGTGCCTGCACGTCCGGAGTGTGTATCATTGTCACCTTCACTGATCCCGGTGCCCACAGGATCATTCCNGTACTATTGTATGCCACTGTGTTTGTGCACTTCGTCCTATCCACTTTCCCAAAACGAGTGTTTACCCTTGACACCAAACATGTTAGCGCATCCGGCTTCGTGTAAATAAAAATAGGTCTCATATCCAAATACCTCTTTCATTTGGGGTCAGGTAGGTTAACGTTCGTCGGTTGGAGGTGTTCAGCTGGTCGCGTGCTTGGCTGCTTGCCTTTTGATTAGTGAACTCTGATTATATTCATCCTAGTTTATCGATCCGAGCTGCATGACCTAGTTCGGTTCCTTTGTTTCATTTGTATCCCTCGTGTTCAGTGTTTTCTAGTATTCCATATAAATTCGTAATCAGAGCTGGCACGTGTTCATTTGCCTACGGATGCCAATTCGTTCATACTTCGGTTTTCTGTTCAGACTTTTATGCTTTGAACACTTATAATCGTAGCAAACGGTAGTCTGTCCATCTGTCCGTCTGTTAATGAACTCTGAACTTTCAGTTGCCTCCTGGTTTTAGTGCCTGTATTCCAATTCAAATACCAACTTGATCCGAAACGCTGGAAACGGAATCTGAATCACAACCTTTCCATGGTAGTTCTAGCCCGTAGCGAAGCCATTGGGTTTTCGAACACCATACAATCACGATGGTGTGTATCGCAAAGATGTATTTCACAAGAACCCTACAGCCGCTCAGAGACAGCAACAATGTTATTCAAACATTCCACGTAACCGGGAAATAGTGATACACTTCCGTAAAAATGACCGCATTGATATCGTGAACCAAAGTTCTAGTTGACATCAGTGAATAATGGATCGCCTTCGTCTGCATGAAACTGCTGAGCGTTGACATCAAACTTTATCATTCTCACTGCAATGTCTCTCATCCGTTTGGTCTCTCACATTGGGATAAATCTTTAAGCTATCGTGCTTTCGAGTGAACGAAATGCATATGAACGAGCACTTACGATGTGCGGTGGAAAATGGAGCTGTGTGAAACAAATAGCCTGGGCAAAATGGCATGCGTTCTCAGCAAATGTTCGAATCCACGGTGCAAGACCTATTAGGACCCATTAATACCTGAAGAGTTCATTGATCTGACATTACTGTAAAAAGCTATTCCATGTTTTGGTTTTGCTGCTAGTTCATATTTTTCGAGTGAGGAATTCGGATTACATAATCTATCAGTTTTTGGTAAATGCATGGGTTTTCACATGTGTAAGTGTGTTAAGTCACGAAAACGAGTAGAGGTTTTTACAGAATCATCATCCCTATTGGTAATGAAATACGAATAAGCTCAGAGTATTGGAAAGCGTACTAGCACCTGGGATTTCATCCTCCTGTGATTATTAGGTAAAATATGTTGCAAATGGTGAAAAACATCCGTGAGCTTATTACACACTGGAGTTCTCTCACATCATAGGTCTCACCCCC